CAGTGCCATCCCCTCTGTCCCCTGGGGCAGTGCCATCCCCTCTGTCCCTTAGGGCAGTGCCATCCCCTCTGTCCCTTAGGGCAGTGCCATCCCCTGTGTCCCCTGGCAGTGCCATCCCCTGTGTCCCTTAGGGCAGTGCCATCCCCTCTGTCCCCTGGCAGTGCCATCCCCTCTGTCCCCTGGGCAGTGCCATCCCCTCTGTCCCCTGGAACAATGCCATCCCCTCTGTCCCCTTAGGGCAGTGCCATCCCCTGTGTCCCTTAGGGCAGTGCCATCTCCTCTGTCCCTTGGGGCAGTGCCATCCCCTCTGTCCCCTTAGGGCAGTGCCATCCCCTCTGTCCCCTTAGGGCAGTGCCATCCCCTCTGTCCCTTAGGGCAGTGCCATCCCCTCTGTCCCCTGGCAGTGCCATCCCCTCTGTCCCTTAGGGCAGTGCCATCCCCTCTGTCCCCTGGCAGTGCCATCCCCTCTGTCCCCTTAGGGCAGTGCCATCCCCTGTGTCCCTTAGGGCAGTGCCATCTCCTCTGTCCCTTAGGGCAGTGCCATCCCCTGTGTCCCCTGGGCAGTGCCATCCCCTGTGTCCCTTAGGGCAGTGCCGTCCCCTCTGTCCCCTTTGGGCAGTGCCATCCCCTGTGTCCCCTTAGGGCAGTGCCATCCCCTCTGTCCCCTTTGGGCAGTGCCATCCCCTCTGTCCCCTTGGGGCAGTGCCATCCCCTGTGTCCCCTGGGCAGTGCCATCCCCTGTGTCCCCTGGGACAATGCCATCCCCTCTGTCCCTTAGGGCAGTGCCTCAGTTTCCCCTCTGTCCCCTGGGACAATGCCATCCCTCCCATTCCATGTCCCCAGAGCCACTGGGGGACCCTGGGGGACACACGGGGCCACTGCTCTGATTTACCCAGCTCTGCCTTCCCTGGGGTTTTTTCTCTGCTGCTGGACAATCACCTCCTCCTGCCTGCTGAAATGGTTTAATTGCAGCTTCCTTTCATGAKATAAATAATATATTAACCATGTATCTTATCTTCATTATGCTGAGCTGCAGCACCGGTGCAGCTCTSGTGGTAATTGAAGAATTATTCATTCTTTTTACTCAGTGCACTCATTTTCCAGCTTTATCTCCTGGATACCTGTGTTTCTGTGTCTCTGCAAAATATTATCCAGGATTTATTCGAGGTGCTCTATAGAGGAGTTGACATTTTCTTTAAGGATGATTGGTCAATTTACCAGGAGAAAACTGTATTTTTTTTATGGATGTTGCTGTTGAAAAATGCCTGTGTTTGTGGTGGAGTGCTTCCCATGAAAAGGGCAGATGGAAAAGTGCTTCTGGATGTACAGATGATGATTTTCTCCCGTTTTTCTGGGTTGTGACTAACTTCTGAGGCTCAGCTTTTCCACTGTGCTTTGCTGCCATCTGTATATTAAATACACCCGCTCTGTGTGGGTATAAAGGTTTATGGGGAATGTGGATTGTCTGCACATCACCTCCTTCACTTGGGCTGCTGGAATTCATCCCCTCAGCTTTGAGAACTCAAATTTGTGAGTTTTTTTTTAAATTATCCTCAGCCTTAAGTATTGTAACTGTGAATAAGGATCGTATTTCTTCTATCATTTACATGTTTCCAAGTTTTTGTCCTCTATATCCACGTTTTAAAAAGAATGCTAATAGGACTACCTGTCAAGGAATGTTACATTGCTGCTTCTGTTCTTAGGTAATTTACATAAATTATTTTTAAACATTACTTTAAATAAAATCCTCCACAGGAGCATAAAATTAAAGGCGGAATGTAGTTGAGTGTGCACAGTATTTATTACTGTGATTATCCAGGCAATTGGATGAAGCCACCATAAGTCATGGAGGACTCACCCACCTCTCCAGTTTTGTGTTTTGGCAGCTCTGGAGGAGCTGAGCCAGGGCTGACAGACCCAGAGCAGCTCCAGGGACACTCCCAGGTGCCACTGATGCCTTAGGATTTATAGTTTCTCTATTTTCATGCATCTGTATTCTTGTATTTCTTCAATACAGCACTAAAAACTCCCTCTCTCATCTTTAGACAAAACAATCCCTCTCTGAGCTGAACCCAAGGACACCTCAGCCCCAAAATATGGAAACAACAACAAGTTTGGGGTGGGTGACATCATCACCTGTAAAGATTATTGCAGAATTAAGACCCAATATGTTAATAAGGCAGAACTTATCAAAGGTGAAGATCTCGTGACTCAGGGTCCATTTTGGGTGTAGCCTCATGTTGTGGGTTTAAACCTGATTTTTCCCAATCCAAGTCACGGCACCAGAAATGTCAAGCACTGCCCATCCCATGGGCACTGGGATTTCCCAGCACTGACCATCCCATGGGCACTGGGATTT